GCCCTGAATTTGGACTTTTAGCCTACTTTGACTGTGAGGAAATAAACTTCTTTTCGTTAAAACCATCCACTTGTGGTATTTCTGTTATGGCAGCACTAGATGACTAAGACACTTGACATGTTTTCATTTCTTTCTCTTACTAAAGTGTATTTTGATCTGAGTCCAGATTCTTTTTCTCTTCTCTGTTCTTTGTTCCTTTTTTATAATCCATTTTATCTTTTTTGTTGACTTCTGATCTCTAATTATTTTATTATTTTAGTGGCTGCTTTAGAGTTGGTTATCACATAGTTGATTATCTCAGTCTACCTTCAGTAATATTATACCACTTCGTATATAGTAGAAGAACTTTATACTGTAAGGTTCTCCATTATAGGACCTCTACTATAGATTCTGTCCACTACTGAGACGACATTTTTGGATTCTCTAACCAGTTTTCTGTGAGCTATGCTTTCTAGTCTGTGTCTTGGGAACAGCTACTTTTTCTGTCCCCATGTAAGCTTTGGGTACTATTTTCTAGAATCCTTTTCCTGGACTCAGGTAGTTTCCTCATTTGCACGTGCTGATATACTCAAGGGGGACCCTCTGCCTGTCTCCAGAGTTCTCCTCTGTGCAGCTCTTTCCTCTCCAATATTCTGCCCTGTGAACTCTAGCTGCCTTTGTCTCTCTGGACTCTCAGCACCATCTCCTTAACTCAGGGAGTCTACTGGGCTTTTCCTTGGTTCCTTCTCTTTAGTTTATAGGTTTGAATCTCTCACAAGGCAGTTTCCAAGCTCACCTTGATCGTTTCTCGATTCTCAGGGATCACTGTCCTTTGTTGCCTGTTATCCAGTGTCTTCCATTATTTCATATATTTTGTCCATTTTTTTAGTTTCATGCTAGAGGGTAAATTCAGTCCCTGTTACTCCATCTTAGCCAAAAGTGGAAGTCCAGGTCCCTTTTAAAGTACTTAATTTTGTTTAGATTAAGTAGCCTTGAAGCTCTTTATATTTAATGTGCTTTAAGTTTTTGGTTCTTTAATGTTTGATGTTTATTTCTGTAAAAATAAAGGCAGTTGGATTTCTAATTCTCTTATACAAAAGGACTTGACAGCGGCAGGTTTGGTTTTTGGTTTTTTATCATACAAAAAAGTGTATATCCTTGTTATCATATTCAGCATTACACATCAGTTTTCTTTTACTTGTAAGCAGCCTTTTAAACAAAAACAGTAACTTACAGAATTGTATTCCTTGTTTATCTTTAAGTGATCCACACCAGCAGTGTATAGTATTTCAAGGCAAAAGTGGTGGTGTAAGGAATAGAAGTTGGGATAGTGATAACCAGGTTGCATAGAACTGAAAAATAATTCTAAATATTAATCTAATCCTTTCTGTTATATGCTTGAATAAATAGCAACAATGGTAGACTAATTTCTCTACAAATGCTATTTTACAGATACTGATATTTTTAAGAATATATGATGGGTGAAGGTGAAATAAGGACATGGACCATAGTCTCCTACTTTGGCTATAGATCAGGGTTGATGACCTGAGTCTGTGGATCTGTGTGCACTTTTAGTATATTATCAACACTAAGTCTATGACCTAAAGAATTTTAAGAGTCAGTGTTCTGTGTGACATTGAAATGGTAACACCAACCTCTTATTTTAGGGTTTCAGTGTTTTCATATAAAATACTTTATCAGAATTGCTCTTAGGGTAGTCTTACTACACCCCTCATCACTGCCATACATACTTCAGTAAGATTTACTTAGCCCTTTAGTAAGATTTAAATAACCCTGTGGGGAATGAAGGCATTACTTCTGACCCAAACCATACCCTTTGATTTTTAAAACAAGACTTACATAGCACATTAAGAGTAAAAGTTCTTCTAATCTTGCTGTTTAAATGAGAATATATTCGTTAGCGCTGTGTTAATGGCAAAAACTCAATAAGTAATAGCTGCGATTATTAATGTGGTTAAGTTAGATTGTTGAAGGGATAAGGGAAACAGGAATTTGCAAGATCCAAAGATGGGATTTAGCAGAACAGATTTGAGAGTTGGTAAAGAGCGTCAGTTTGATTGGGGTGGAGGATTTGTGTTAGAACAGTAGTTTCAAACCACATCAGACATCCCTAGAAGTTCTTCAGAGGTGCCTCAAGGATAGACAGGGAGTGCTTTGTTGGAAAGGAGAGAAAAAACACTACTCTTTTAGCAAAGCAGCTCTTATTTTCATCAGTTTTATGTATTGAGTATTAGACTAAAAATTTACAAACAGTTGGAAATCCCTATTAGGTACTACTAGGCTATTTTTGATGGAGAGTATTGAACACAAGAACAGTTGGGATTTAATCTAAAAACTAATTTTCACTTTGGTAATTTGAAAAATAACTTACCATTTAAGCAAGGATATGATAAGTTGAAATTAATTTTTTTAGAAGGTTAATCATTATAGATGATTGTAACATGCATTTGGAATGATGAGAGACTAAGATAGTAAAACACTGTCATAATCTAAGCATCAGGATATGAGGCTCTAGATCAAGCATCAGGAATAGAGAAGAGATCCACTAGAGGAAAATCACTATGATTACTTTTTAAAGTGTTTTATAGTGTTTACCATGTTCTATAAGGAGCCTTGATATCACAGTGGTTAAGTACTCAGCTGCTAACTGAAAGATCGGTGGTTCAAACCCACCAGCCTTTCCTCAGGAGAAAGATGTGGCAGTGTACTTCCATAAAGATTACAGCCTTGGAAACCCTATGGGACAGTTCTACTCTGTCCTATAGGGTCACTATGAGTCAAAATCGACTTGACGTCACACAACAACAACCATGTACTATGTTAAACACTTGACATGAGTTATTTTATATAATCTTACAACACGCTTTTGATGTAGGTACTAATGTTAACCCTTTTTACAGATCAGAGAATTATACAGAGAACTGAACTTAACTATAAATATAAAAAGTTGCACAACTGATATGTTTATTGAGCCACTTTTAGATATATTGAGTTTTAGTAGTAGACATTTCTTTGGAGAAATTCTATGGAACATATGAGCCTAGTGCTAGTATAAGAAGTCAAATGAAAACACATAAGCATAAAAAAATAACTGAAGTCATAAGAGTAGATAAACTCCTATGGGGTGGAAGGACAAGTATCTGAGGAAGGAGACTTGAAGGATGCCTTTAAGGAAAAAGAAATTTCATTCTTAAAACAAACATAAAACAGAGATATGGTTGGAAAGGTGGGAAATCCACCAAGAGTGTTTTGTCTTGCAAGCAGAAGTTTCACCGTAAAGATGAGCAGTGTCGAATAGAACACAGAGATCAGGAGGTTAAGGAAAAGATGAAGTTGAGCCATACGAAGAACCAATAGATTTCACTAGAAGGTCATTAACCTTTTCTGTGTGTGTTGAGGGGACAGGGTGGATGGTGAGGAGAGAGGGTAGTTTGAGAGGAAGATTAATTTACTGGTTGAGAAATATTTGGATAGTAAAATATGGATGCCTTGCTGATTATTTGAATCACCCGGGAGAGCTTTAAAAAAAAGAAATGATTACATTATACCCCTCACCCTGGTCCTCCTAGACCAAAATATTGGAGGGATTGGAGGAAGATAGAGCCTCAGATTCTAGTCTTTAATTTCTAGATAACTGTAGATAATCTAGTAGAAGTAGGAACCAGGGTTTTGAGCAAGCCTTCTGACAATAGAAAGACTTACCAACAGAAAAGGTAAAAAGACCTGTTGCCGTCAAGTCAATACCTACTCATAGTGACCCTATAGGACAGAGTAGAACTGCCCCATAGGGTTTCCAAGGAGCGGCTGATGGATTTGAACTGCCAACCTCTTGGTTAGTAGCCAAATGCTTAATCACTGCACCGCCACGGCCCCAGAAAAGGAAAAGCAGATATTATTTAGAAGGCTTTGAGTTTTCCAGGAAAATACATCCCAGCCATGAAAGCAGTATTGCACAAGATCCCACCTTAGTGGCGATTAATTTTTTTAAATTCATATTCTCTCTCAACTGACTTTTTTTTTTATTTACAAAGAACAAATGAAAAAAAATTTAGTGCAATGACCAAAAATCCCACTGCCATCAAGTTGATTCCGACTCATAGCAACCCCATAGGGTTTCCTAGGCTATAAATCTCTATGGAAGCAGACTGCCGTATCTTTCTCCCTCAGAGCTGCTGATGGTTTGAACCACAAGTATTCATTTATAAAGCCTTATTTGGTGACACTCAGAGTTGAATGTATAGGGGAAAACATAGATGAGTGATCCAGGAAAATGTAGTTTGTAGACTTAGTTGGAGGGTATAAAGTTGAGAATGTGTGTTATAGATGAAGAAGAAAACATAGGAGTAGCTAACCATGGAGGTGGTTGGTTAGCTCCTCCTATGTTTTCTTCGTCATATGACACTCACCTTTATAACCTCCAACTAACCCTGGTGGGGCAGCAGTTAAGCACTCAGCTGCTAACTGAAAGATTGGCAGTTTGAACCCACACAGTGGCTCCATGGGAGAAAGACCTGACGATCTGCTTCCGTAAAGATTACAGCCTAGAAAACCCTATGGCGCAGTTCTACTCTGTCACGTGTAGTCGGCTATAAGTCAAAAATCGACTCAACAGCACACAATAACAATAACCATGGAGTTAAGAAAGTAAATCTTTTGTACTAAAACAGGTACTAATGAAGTGAGTAAAGTGCAAGAGTTTCAGTGCAGTTAAGAGAGATTAATCAGAGTGGTATTAAGTCAAGGTCAGGATCTTGTCTGATGATAAATACTAATTTGGAAAAGAAATAGTACACTGTGTTAATGGATTTCATAAAATTGACCATATTTGCAAATGATTTGTGAGGAGATGAAGGTCCACAGAGTCTGGAAAAGTGATTCATCTTGGAATTAAAATGTTGTCTGCAGAGACTTCAGCATGAATTTGAGGTCTGTAGGAGTGATGGAAGTGGAAAAGAAAAATGTCAACTGGATATTGATGTTAGTCAACCTGGTAGAAAGGAATGCAAGGGGTTAGTAGATAATAGCAGTTTATTATTTGAGAAAGTTGCTATAGACAAAATTTTCAAGTGATAAAAAAGTGAAATAGTTAAGTAATTAGGAAGTGGTAGTACAGAATAAAGGTATTTTCGATGGTGATTCCTACCCTTCAGTCAAGGGCGAGAGAGAGCTAAAGGAAATGTGGTGTTCCTTGTGGAGCCAAATTACTTATCAGGTATAGAAATATAGGCAAGAAATAAGACAAGTTTGTAATGAAAAGATTACTTTTGTATAAAGGGAGTTCCTCAAAGATAATAAAATAAAATAACAATAATAGAATAAGAATCCATAAAACCTTGGTAGAAAACAGAAAAGGCTTGATAGAAAGGTCAGAGTTTGAGGTTCAGAGATTTGCATTAAGAGTAGAATACATAGTGAAGAGTTTTAAAGTAGGTTAGGCAGTAAACTAAAAAGAGGTAAGCAGAAGGAGAGTAACAGGTTTCTGGCTTTTTTTGTTGTTTTCTTTTTTTGGAATTAAAAGGCACAGTGGTTAAGCGTTTGGCTGCTAACCAAAAGGTTGGCAGTTCTAACCCACAAGCCGCTCTGCAGGAGAAAGATGTGACAGTTTGCTTCTGTAAAGATTACAGGCTTGGAAATGCTATGGGACAATTGTGCCCTGTTCTATATATATGTATTTGTGTGTGTGTGTGTATATATATATATATATATGTATGTATGTATATGTGTGTGTATATATGTATACATGTATATATGTGTATGTATACATAAAAAACCCGTTGCTGTCATTTCCGACTCATTGCAACCCTATGAGGACAGAGTGGAACTGCCCTTTAGGGTTTCCAAGGAGCACCTGGTAGATTTGAACTGCCAACCTCTTGGTTAGCAGCCATAGCTCTTAGCCACTAGACCACCAGGGTTTCCAGATACATATATATATTTTGTAATTGGGAAAATTGAAAGAGATGTCCAGGCACTTATACATTGGGGTGAATGCAAGTTGCTATAACACCTGCAACTCGTTATAGTTTTCCTGTGTATCCAGAAAAACCAGTTGCTGTTGAGTTGATTCTGACTCATGGCAATCCCAGGTTTGTCAGAGTAGAACTGTGCTCTGTAGGGTTTTCAATGGCTGATTTTTTCGGAAGTAGATCACCAGGCCTTTCTTTTGAGGTGCCTCTGGGTGTACTTGAACCACCAGCTTTTCAGTTAGCACCATCCAGATTCTCAGGAAATGGTATAGATTTGAGAACTCCCAGAGATAGACACTGCGTATCCTCTGCATGCTCTTTTATAATCCCTACTCAGACCTTCTGGGACTTTTATAGAGTTATGAAATGGCTCAAAAGGTAAGTTAGAAGAAATAGGAAGACCTAAAGGGCAACATAATTGATAATAACCATTCCATACACAAATGAGAATGAACACAATTTTAACATAATATATGGTATTAAAGATGTCCCACAGCATATTTATTGAACGTACCTTGATAACCACTGAAAATATAAAAATGAGTAAGATCTTGCACTCATAGAATCCAGAGTATATTGACTCAGTTGAAAATAAGAATAAACTGGTTAATTTTATGTCCTTTTGTCCTAATATTCTTTAACAATGTGTTTTATTTAGTGGTAGAAGATGATGAAGATGACTTTCCAACAACACGTTCTGATGGAGATTTCTTGCATAACACCAATGGCAGTAAGGAAAAGTGTAAGTAATACATTTTTCCCTCAGTTGGATAAAATACACTGTGTATCAAAGCATAATTACCTAATTGAGTAATTTTTAAAAGCAGTGGAACTGCTGGAATTCAAGTGAAAATTTCTCCTAGGGAAGGCACATTCTGAGGTTAAATAGTATTAATGGCTGCTCACTATCTAACAAAGACTTATTCTAAATTCCAGTCATTGTAGATTTGATGTAATGAAATTCTAGTACTGAAAATGATGATATGGGGAAATATGCTAATGGAACTTAACTTGAATGTGTTTTTTGAGTATATTTCTTTCCTTCTGTTTAACATTCTTTTCTCCACTGATAAACTTATATTGAAAGTATATAATCAATGTTATTAAAAGAAAATTATTGCAATAGCTCTGCTTTCACAGCATAACGTTTATAGTTCCTGGAACAAGATGGTTTATTTCTTATACTGATTTATTAATCGTTGCTTTACTTATAATGGCTAACACTTCAGATGGAATTCTGAACTGTTCATTGAAAACTTGTGATTTGTAGTTATTGTTTTCCTTTGGACATATTCTAAGGAAAAACTAGAGTGAGTTCCTAAAAATGTTTTGTTACCAATAGGCCTTTGTGAACAAAATAATTTCATCTGATTATGCTTATTTTTGCTGAAGTTATGAAAGAATATAAAGTAAAATCGGTGATTGTGGCATATTTTCAAATCATTTTTTTTTAACTGTTAGATGCATGGAAATAATTTTGTACTTCAGAGATCATATTGGACCACTCTGTTATTGATACTAAAACCTAATGCTGCTTTCTTTTCTACCTTTTCCTCTCCGTTTCTTTTCACAATAGGTCTCTTTCCTTATAACCTACAGTCCCCCACCAATCCTGCAAAAATATTAGCTTACTGTTGCAAAGTTTTATGTATAATTTGGGTCTGCAACATTGTACTTATTCAGTCATGCAGATTTATTTATCTGTATGGAATTAGAGAATTATTTTGGGAAAGTTTTTTTGGTTGTATTTTAATTTCACATTGAATATTCTGCTTTAAGAAAACATTTCTGTTTGGATATTGGGAAAATTATTGAAAGGAGTTATAAAACTCCCAGGTACCTTTCTCCATCCACATAAACTCAGCTATCCCACCTACATTCCCTAAAAGAGAAAGGAAGTTTATTTTCTGAAGAAATTGAACTAGAGAGTTCTAGATTCAGAGATACCAGGCAAGCAAACTTGGATGGATAGGGCTATCAATAAAAATGATTATCTAGAAATTATCTGATTATTTAGATCTTATTGTTAATTGCTGATTATTTATATTTTATTGTTCTACCTATCTCCAAGAATTCTGGTAGCCAGGGATTAAATGAAAGTGTGTATATTCAAGGGTACAATCCCCAGCCCCCTTCTCTTATTCTGTTCCCAGAATACCCATCGATCAGACATATATTTTCTGGTAAAAAATTTTAAGACACCTCTGGAGAAATATAATGGCCACAGAGAAAAGACCTACTATTAAGAGATTTTTAGGGGTCCTTCATGAAAAAGCCATTGCCGCCACTAGATCATCCTTTGAAGCCCCCCAGTTGACAAGCACTGTTAGTGCATACAGAGCTTTCACTACTTCACTCTTAAATGTGAACTGATAGTCAGATATTCCCAGATATTTGAGGAAAGTGACCAAAAATAGCAAACTAGAAAAAGGAACTCAGAAAATGCAGGAAGCAAAAGAAAACTTCATGAAGACTGTAGTTAATGTCCATAATAATAAAACATGATGTTTTATTCCTGGCACTAAAGAACTCTTGGAAATTAAAAATTACAAAGGCAAGAATTAAAAAACACTGAAAGGGTTGATCTATAAAAGGTTGAGTAAAATCCTAGAAAAACAGAAGAGAAAGCTCAAGAATAATGAGAGAGAGAGAGAGAGAGAGAGGAAGGAAAGAAAATAAATTTGAGTGCCAGCCAGGAGATCTGATGTCTGACTAATATCAGTTCCAGAAAGAGGGAAAGAATTATTAAGTAACTACACCAACTCCTCACTTGACGACTAAACTATCTCTTGTTATCAGACAATTCTCATTTAAGGCAATGGAAAAAAACTACTATCCTACTATTTTACACATTAATGGGGAGGAGGAGGGTGAGTTTTGTGAGAGGGAGTGAGTCTGCGCAGGCCGCTGGTGGTTCCTAGTACCTGGGTGTGATGGATGAAGGGGCTGGACCAGCCCCATGGGGAACAAAGGGAGGGCGGTGGCATGCAGGAGTGGACCCGCTGAGCCATGAGGAAGCAGTGGGAGCTGCGGCTGCAGGAGTCAGGCAAGGGGTTTGGGAGTCTCTTCTTCCAAAGACGCCTCTGCTGCCTCTGCGGCCTCCACCAGGCACAGGTGGCGGGGCCTCACCTGCCTGCAGGACTGGGAGCCACCTGCCGCCGAGGCCCATCTCCAGGGCCCGTGGAGCAGGAAGGTGGAGAGGTGAGGCACGGGAGTCCACACGGAGGCCTGGAGCACGGCTGATGTTCTGGAGAGGCAGACAACCCCGACAACCACCACCCCCAACCCCTGCGGGTTCCATGGTGGTGGGGAATGGGGGCCCACTGCGCCACATGCATCCTGAGACAAGCTGGGGGTGCCCAACATGTGGTGAGCAACCCAGTGCGTGGGGGCGGGGAAGACACTGCCCTGAAGATGGGACATGGTCCTGGCTCTCGCATAACACCAATTTTCGCATAACAACCTGGTTTTTGGAACCTGATCATGTTGATAAGTGAGAAGTGGGTGTAACATAAGAAAATTCCACAAAACTGAGGGTCTCAATTGTTGGAATTGAAAAGAGACCAACATAATGAATAGAGGTGGGGGGAACAAAACGAAATCCTCACCAAGAGATGCGTCGTCACCCTGGAGAGAGATGAGAAGATCCAGGAGGATAGTGGGTGAGGGGGTAGGTGAAGTCATATGGCAAAAATTAAGAATGGCATTGGCCTTCGCAAGGGGTTGGAAATTGCAAAATAGTGGACCAGTACCCTTCTTGATTCTGAGTGAAAATTATTTTCAACCTAGGATTCTATACCCAGCCAATCTTTTGATCAAATATGAGGATAAAAAATATTCCGAAGTCTTAAAAATCTATCTTCTATGCACCTTTAGCAGGAAACTACTGCCATTCTGCCTGTTCAGAAGGATTTTCCACCAGTCTCATTTCCTGTCCCCATGCACGCACACACACTTGCACGCACATACACGGTCATTTGGAATGCATCTTATGAAGAAACAAAAACCTCTTCACCACAGAAACTATGATGATCCCGCTTTATGCTACCTATATGTACCATATGTACCATTCAGAATAGAATGTGAGAGTCTAATAAAGAACATTCCAAATCACTTACCTTCTTTCAGCATTTGTTTTTATTTTTGACATGTTGATGTTAACTTACAGGTCCCTTGATTTTCTGAGTGTTAGTACCTTAAAAAAAGTTGTTTAAAGCTGTGTTTAAGGCCAGAGTTCAACTGAAATAGCTATAAATCTGAATGATAATCTTTAGAGAGTAAGTACTTACAAATCTAGCTTTAGAGATTATTTTGTCAGTTCTTCCATTTCTGCCCTTTATATTCATGATTATATATTTTCAACTTCCTATTACTATACTGTATCATTTTCTTAAAGGAAATTAAGATGTGTCATCTGGTCTCTTTAAGAATTTTTTTTCCTTATCTTCAGCTCTACCTTTTTTACAAAATATGCTCATTCATCCAAAATTATCCGGTACTTGGGATTTTGCTGGAGTTTTTCTGTTAAGATTAATATGGTGTCACAAAATAAGGTATAAGAGACTTGGAGCAAAAAATCAAAGTAACCGATATTTACAGTAGGCTGGTGGATGACAAATTAAGATGAGGTTTTGTCTTTGTGCCTTTCATTTCCTGACAGATGTAACATGAGAGGATTTTATTTCAGAGGGCCCTACTGTGCAAGACTTTTATTTTCAAGTGTTTGAGAGCTTAAAAATCTATTTTATAACCCCCATAGCATTCCAAAAAGAGTTTCAGGTGGCTGCTTCTAGAAGTAGCAAGTGCAGGTGAAGAGATACATTTCTGTATTTCTAGAGTTTTTCCAAAGGCATTTCATGTTGCTCTTTCTTCTTGTACTGACTCCTAAGTATATAAATTACCAAATATTTACCGGGGAGGACCCATTATTGCACACATTCACTTGTAAAGGATACAGATTACTTTGAATTTCTAAGCTGATTATTAATAAAAATAGTAGTTTGTAATGTAACTGTAATTTTGGTAAGAATAATGGAAAAAGTAGAAGTTAAAATTGTAGAAAGAATTTTTAGTCTTATAAAGAAGTTTTTTAAACAACTTTATTGAGGTATAATTGACATACTATAAACTGCACGTTTAAAGTATACAGTTTGGTAAGATTTGATACATGTATATAGCCATGAAACCATGACCACAATCAAGATAGTGAAAATATCCATCACCCTCAAAAGTTTCCTGGAGCCCTTTTGGTAATCCCCCCCTCCTATCCCTCACCCTATTCCAAACAACCACTGATCTTTTTTCTATCACTATAAATTAGTTTGTATTTTCTAGAATTTTATATAAATGGAATTATACAGTATGTGTCCTTTTTTACTTGGCTTCTTTTTTAGGTTGAGATTCATGTGTTGTTGCATGTATTAATAGTTGATTCCTTTTCATTACTGAGTAGTAGCCATTGTGTAGATATACTACAATTGGTTTATTCATTCATCTGTTGGTGGACATTTGGACTGTTTCCAAATTTTGGCTATTACAAATAAAGCTACCGTGAACATTTGTATACAAGTCTTTGCATGAACATTTTGCCTTGAGTTTTTAAAGTTGAAAGTAGCATTATTTCATTTATAAGCGTTCTGTTGAGAGGATTTCATAATACTGTCTTGTTTGCATTTAATTCAAGGCTAAAATTATAAAATGTAAATGTAAGAGCTACGTAGTATGAGTATTGGTCTTGAGCTTAAATTTGGAAATCATTTAAAATTTTTTTATCACCTTATTCAATTCTACAGTTTATCTTCAGATATTTTTTAAAATTCTTAGTTTCTTAAAATTTAAGCTAGTCATTGCCATAATTAGGTCCCACTCTAAGCTGTCAGAATATTATCATTGAAGTATTACTCCTCATATCACTTGATTCACTGGGTGCAACAGAGCACATCAATTTCAGGAAACAGAATCCAGATAAATGAATTTAAAGGGTATATGCTGCAACAGCTGCTTTACTCACAGAGCAATGATGAGAGATTTTAAAATGTTGTTCCATAGGAGGAAAATTGTAGTCCAAAATCTTCTCTGACTTGCTAGTTTTTAAAATATTTTCCAATCTTAAATTTTGATAAGGAGTTATTTCTTCATTAGAAAGATTTTCAGTGAATAACTTTCTTTTTCAGTATTTCCTCATGTAACACCAAAAGGGATTAATGGTATAGACTTTAAAGGGGAAGCAATAACTTTTAAAGCAACTACTGCTGGAATTCTTGCTACACTTTCTCACTGTATTGAATTAATGGTAAAACGCGAGGATAGCTGGCAAAAGAGACTGGATAAGGTAAGACTAGTTTTTTGTTTGTTTCCTTGTAAAAATACTCAGATTTTATTTAAATTGTATATATTGATTGAAACATTTAAATCAAATTAATTTCTTAGGGAAAAATGTATTGAGTTGAAGGAAATAGCAGGTGGTATTATTCCTGAAACTTTGTGGACTTTGTAGACTCATTTTTCCTGATGAGATTGATCATTTATTTATTCAGTTACTGTAAAATACACTTTTTTGATAGGAATTTAATATTATGAAAAATTTGTAATGATATTAGTAATACCTTGGAATGGAAGTGATGAACCATTTAGCATTACCCAGCTTTAGTGTGTGATATATGGAACATGTTTAAGTTGTATGAACTGAAACACCAGTTTATTAAGTTAAAGATTTATTGCATTCATAGACATGTGTTTTTTCAGAGGTCATGTGATATAATTTAACATACATTATGTTGTTGTGTTGCACATTTGGCTTATGTTTACATTTTTACACCTTTGTTTAAACTGTAGCACTGATAATAATATTACCGTGTGAATCTTTAGTATCTGGTGTGAAGCATGGCTCACTGCATTTATTTAGGAGGAATATTTCTGTTTATAATTCAACTTGAGTAAAACTGTAAAATTGTTAGAATTGAAACATACCTTAAAGATCTAGTTCTATTCCAACTTCATCATTTTATAGAAAAGGGAACTGAGACCTAGAGACTGGTCCAAAGGTACCCAAATAGCAGAATTAGAGGAATTTTACTCTAATTCTGATACTTCAGCTCTGGATACTATGCCAGACATCAGTCAGAATTTTATTATTCATCAGTAAGTCATATTGCTTGGAGTGTCTGAAGGTCTTATTAATTTGAATGGGACACTAAGGAAAGCAGTGTAATCACTGATCAAATGGCAGAATGGTTGGTTAGAGGATTTGAGTAACATTATGAAGGCCTTGTGTTTTAGAAGAAAGGAGAACTGTTTAGAACTCTCAAGTGTAGGTGAGAGTAAACCATGTTGGCTAGCTATTATATATTCTTTAAAAACAGACAATGAAAACTTTCACTTAAGGTGTAGGCATTTCATTACATTCTGGAGCTGAACTATTACATCTTCAAAGATTTCAGTTCTATTCAGTGTGTATCAGATTGAGTCTTCAGAAAATTTCCCATACATACAACAAAGGTTTTGAGAGAACAGGACAACCTCTGAAATCCATTAGACTAATAGTTTAAGATAATCATTCAACTTGACCAGACTAACTTATTTAAAAATTTTCGGCAACTTTCTCTTTAGGTCTCCTGTCTTTAATCTGTTTGTCTTTCACTAAGGAATCATCTTCTTCAGTCATGTACTCTAACCACAGTGCCTAAAAATATTCTTTAAAAAAAATACTTTTACATTAAGTAACATGACTTCCCCATCTTTCCAGCAATCAAGTTTATTTGCCCTGTTGAAAGGGAGGTGGACTTTGATTCCAATCAGGGTTGTAGATCTTATCTGTTTTGTTGAGTAGCGATAAGTAGAGCAAACAAAAGGATCTGTGAAGAAACTAGTTTTGCTGCTTCTCTTAACCAAAGAACAGCTGCACAAGATGGCAGTATTAATTGAAATCTGGAAACTGTGTTTTATGGTGTTCTTACAGGTCTGTCTGATGTCAAATCTTATTCACCTTTTCCACTTTATTTTTTTCTCAAGGTTAAAATGACAATAGGATCTCAGTTACATTTTATAGGGAATGGTTATAAAGAAGACCAGAAAGTTCTTGGAGTTGTTTATCAACGAATATGTATTTTAGATAATTCATAGAATTGGGAAAGAAAGTACAGTCAGTGATAATATGGCTTCATTGAAATTGTTCTGTTTCATTCAAGAAGTATTTGTGTACCCTGTGCTAGGCCCTAAGTTAGGAATGGCAAAACAGTGATGAAGACGAAATAGTCTCAAGGAGCTTAAAGTCTAATGAGAGCAATTGTATAGGGGATTTATGGTATAATTATAGCTGTTTAATAGTAGAATTGATTGTTTACATTCTACCATGAAGTAGATTTCTAATGTCATTTCCACTGTTCTTTTGGCTAAGTAATTGAAAGTTAATATTCTTTAGTCATGGTGATTTTTCTTGGTTACCTGGAATAATAATCCTTTGTATTATAGAAGTCAGTCATGTCCAATAAGTCCCAAAATTCTAAGATTAAATCACTTTAGTTATTAACAATGTTAATAAGAATGTCTGTTCATTGAAGACAACTTTGCGTATATTAATAGACTTACAGATGTGTAATTTTCACATGCTTTCTTATTTTCTCTTAAGTCTTTTTAATGTTATTGCTACCCTATTCATTTTGTTTTCTTTATTGATGTATTATATACATACAGTGAAGTGCCCCAGTCTTAAGTGTATGGCTTGATTTTTTTTTTTTTTAACATATATATAGATCCCTGTAGGAGCCTGATTGCACAGTGGTTAAGCACTCAGCTGCTAATCAAAAGGTCAGCAGTTCGAACCCAGCAGCTGCTCCATGGGAGGAAAGATGTGGCAGTCTGCTTCCATAAAGATTTACAGCCTTGGAAATTCTATAGGGCAGTTCTGCTCTGTCTTACAGAGTCGGTATGAGTCGAAATCGACTTGATGGCAATGGGATACATCCCTGTACCCACACTCAGGTCAAGATATAAAACTTTTCTAGCACCCAGAAGGTTCCTTCATGCCCCTTCCCAGTCCATACCACGCTATCCCCCACCCCGAGGTGACCACATTTCTAACTTACGTCTCCATAAATTAGTTTTGTCTGTTCTTAAACATAAGTGAATCATACAGTATATACTCTTGTATCTGGCTTTGTTTCCCCTCAACATTGACTGTGAGATTTATCCATGTTGTGGATTTAGTAGTAGTTCAGCATTTTTTATTGCTGTGTAGTGTTTCATTTATGATTATATCACAATTTGTTTATCCATTTTCCTGTTGATGGACCTTTAGGTGGTTTCATTTTTTGGCTATTCTCAATAAAGCTTCTGTGAGCATTATTGTACATCTCTTTTGGTAGATATATGTACTCGTTTCTCTTTGGCATATTCCTAGGAATAGAATTTCTGATTCATAGGGTATATGCTTAGCTTTAATAGCTACTGTCAAACAATTTTCCAAAGTCGTTTTATCAGTTTATATTCCTACCATCAATGGATGAGAATTCCAGTTCTTTATACCCTTGACCATACTTGGTATTGTTAGAGGTTTTGTTTGTTTGTTTGTTTTATTTTAGCCATTCTGATGAGTCTGTAGTACCATACCATTTTCTCATTAGTACACAAAAATCAATTAATAAATTCTCTGGGTCTTATGAATTTATTTATTGATTTGCACTAGCTTTAATTCACATATAAGGTTTTGGAAGCTTTGTGTGAGTTCACTGTGGACTTTAATTTAGCCATGAATTATTTGAGGTGAGGAAATAAAGGCTTTGTTTGTTTCGTCTTGTGTTTTTCCACAAGTTTGCTGGTGCTGGGGCCAGCCTTTGTTGTTTTTTGTGTTGACTGGGTCTTTAACCTCTCAAATCTGTATGCCTTATTTATGTAAGGAGAGGGTTAAAGTTGATCTCTAAAGTTTATAAAGTTCAGCTCTAAAATTCAGTCTTGCCAGCAGTGGGAAAATACAAGAAATTTGTCTTTCTTAGAGTATCTTTTTAGCATTCATTCATTCCAGCTATTAATTGAGTTCGTTTCTTCCTCATATCCATTCCTTGCCATTTTTAATTCATAAGAAAAGAAATAAAACTCTTACTGGAAAAAAAATACAAGAATGTATTGTAGGCATTTCTCTGGGACTAATTATCTTTTTTAAAAGTATATTTAGACACTTGCAGTTACTTAATCCATTTAAATACATAGCCTGCCTATAAGGTGATCTTAAGTGTTAGCTTATGGTATATGTAATATATAGCCTAGATAAACATGTTTTCTTGGACAGAATAGTACTCTTATTTTTCATACCAGTGGAGTTATTATTTGGTCAAATTGTACAGTTTCAGTGAAATGCAGAAGAAATCCATTTAAAAAGAATTGTAGTTAAAATTCCCACTTCAAATGATAAATTTTTCAGTTGATTTTTTGTTGTTGTTGTTGTTGTTGTTAAATAGGAAATTGAGAAGAGAAGAAGAATAGAGGAAGCATACAAAAATGCCATGACAGAACTTAAGAAAAAGTCCCACTTTGGAGGACCAGACTATGAGGTATGAATTTTATTTTTGATATTAGAAAGAGAAATGCATATGCAAAATTTATCACGGAAGTGACAAATTTTTAAATAGTAATATTGTAGCCCTTAAATAGTCTGAATATATATAATTATATACAAATATGTGTGTATATGTGCGTATATATATAGCCAGTTACCATCAAGTCAATTCTGACTCATGGCTACCCCATGTGTGTTGGAGTAGAACGGTGCCCCATTGGGTTTACAGTGGCTGAATTTTCAGAAGTAGATCACCAGGCTTTTCTTCTGAGGTGCTTCTGAGTGGACTCAAACCTCAAACCTTTTGGCAAGCAGCTGACCACATTAACTGTTTACAGCACCTAGGGTGTGTCTCTCTGTTTATCTCTCTCTTTCTTTCTGTACATATACATATATGTATGTATATATAAATATATATGTATAACTTTAAATATATACACAAACTCAACTTTTTATTGTGATTAAATGTATATTTCATGGTATGTAAATACCAGGGAGCATTTTCTTACTAGGCTTACTCTGAAACAGGTTTTTGTTTGTTTTAATTGCCTACAAAGTTTAGTATAAGCTTTAAAAGGCTCAGTATTAGTCCTGTCCACTTTATAGGGAAAGTTTTTGTTTCCCTTTTAAGGATAATAATTTTTAATGTTAGCTTCTTAGTCTTTTTTATTTTTATTTTTCCTTTCTTAAAATAAAGCAACTTTTATGGGAAAAAATCTGAGTATTTACTGATAAAAGATTTTAATGTGTGTTATTAGGTAAGATCTTATCCATAGCAGAGCATGAACCTTTATGTTTGAAAATGTCTGAAACCAACTTGTTTCCCCTTTCATTTCCTTGTTAAGCAATTAATAACATCTCCCTCCCTACATATATGTATACATACATACACACACACACACACACACACACACACACACACACATACATTAAAGTTTTATTAACTCTTTTGCCGTGACATTTCTCTAGAGAAAAAAAGGTATAAGAAATATATCTGGTAGTTATGATTAAACATTGTTATTATTCCTGAAATGAACTTTTTAAAGATGCAGTTGCTGGGAGCATCATCAAGATAGAAGTAGAATGATAAAGTACTTATAATCAGCTGATATTTAAGAAAATGAAAGAATTTCTTGCCATTTTTATGCAAGAGGGAAATAAAAGAGTTGCTGTTGATTGAATATTTTTTATATTAGAAAAGATTTTCAACTGTAGAAATCCATAATGATGAGACTTGAGTTGTAATATTTTAAAATTACTAAGTTGTTAAGTCATTTCTTCTGGAATATATAAAAATTGCAGGTTTTTAAAAAATCTAGATTATTAAAATATAAGTTACTGTATTACAATATCAATTTTTATTTTGAAGCTAAGCAGTTTATTTTAGTATTTCAGGTTTATTTCTTGGGAGAATTATCAACTTCGTAAATTACCTTATTTTTTCATATCAAAAATAAAATATATGTTCATTACAGACAGAATATAGAAAATATAAGCCCAGTGAAGTCTGTATTTTTAACAACATATTGTACCAGTTTATCTCCTACCAGCAATATATACGTATGCTTGTATACTTGTTTATCTGTGCTTCTGTCAACAGTTTTATTCCTGGGAGGTGGGTTGAGGGAGGCGTGTTGTGCTAAGTGTATGCGTTTACTAGTTTCAAAGCCAAAAAATTTGCTTTATTGATATGATTGAATGTTTTAATATATGTGTGTGCGTGTGTGTTTGTAAGCCATTTATATTCCTTCTTTAATGATTCACTTGTCCATGTCCTTTGAACATTATATAATTAATCCTTCAGTCTTTTGAAAAGTGATCTCCACTTTTGGTATCATGCTTAAAAAAGCATTCTCTACTTCAGAATTATGTAAATGTTTACCTATATTTTCTAGTTTTTTTTTGTTTTTTAAAAGTCTCTTCTAAATGTAAATATGCTGTTAATACATCTAGATTTTTTAAACTCTAGATGTTGTAATGTAGGGTTCATTATTTTTCTCCAGTGTCATTTGTTGAATAAACCATCCTTTCTCTGCCAATTTGAAATGCACATTGCTCTCTCTCTATGAGGAAAATAATTAAAAGTCCACCAATTTTTTTTCACTGAATATCTGTGGTATCAGGTTAATATATAATTTTTAAGTAAATTAGGACCTGTTTTTACACTTCTAAAGCATATGTTTTTGTGTTTCTTCCGTTTAGCGTTTTGAATCATCTATCTTATCTTGTGTTGCTACTATACTTGCCTGGATTTTTGACACTATTTGATAATCTGATTTTATTTTTGTTCTTATCTAACATTCATGATGTTCTAATTATTGAACAAATTTTAAAAGTTTCTGTCATCTATAGACTTAGCAATTTCTTGATAATCTTAAATCTATTCCTAAGACTTTACAGGTATTTATTATATACTTACTATAATGCCAGGCATGGGTGGGGGAGGATATAGTAAGGAACTAGGCAGATAAGAATCCTGCCTCAGAGCACTACCTGAGTGTATAATGGGGAACATGGACTAGTTAACAGGCAATTATAATTAATACTATTAAGTACTTTTAACCCAGGTTGAGGAGATTGAGTCAGGATGGCTTTCCAGAGAAAATGACAATCTTAGCCAAAACATTAAGAATGAATAGAGAGAGTAATAGGCCCTTGACTAGGTAATAAGCTTAGAAAAAGTGTTTGCTCTAGGGACTGACAAAGAAAACATTTATACGCGGGAGGCAAATGAGACCGTGGTTCATCATGGGAACTGAAAGTACTTCTCTGTGGATGGAGGATGGGTGGTAAGAGACTGGCTAGAAAGGTCAACAATGGATTATAATCAAGAAAGTAAAGTTTTCAGATTGACAGATTAGAAAAATCACTCTTGCTTCCTGTGATGAGGAGAATAAATTGTGACTGAGGACTTGGCAGCGTTTACAGTAAAACAGGAGAGAGTTGAAGATGACCTCAATTAGGATAAAAGCAGTAGGAATAAAGAAAAGCTAACATTAGATATTTGAAAAGTAGAATTGAAGTGTATGGTAATTTAATGAGGGAGAAAAAAAGATTAAACTGAAATTTCTGCCTTAGGCAGATTGGTGTGGATGTGAGCAAGGAGTGATTTTGGAGCACAGGTATGCATTATAAATTTAGTTTTATACATGTTGCATATGAGACATTCAAATGAAGAAGTCTTACATACAGTTAGGTGTAAAGATATAACACTTAAGACAGAGATGGACTAGCTGTGAATTTGGAAGTCATCAGATGATGACTGAAGCTTTGGAAATTAATAAGAACGTTACGAGGAGAGCAAGTATGGAACCCTGAGGAACACCAACATTTAATAGGCAAAGGAAAGCTCCTGCATGGGAGCCTGAGAAAGAGTGCCTGGAGAGGGAGGAGGAAAATTGGGAATCCAAGAGAAGAGGACTCTTCCAGGATAGTGATTAATGTGAGACATACTGCTAAGAGGGCAAGTAAGATTATAGAGTGTCCAGCAGATTAGCAACAAGCATGAGATAAAAAGGTTTAAGTCCTTTTTAGTAAAGGAAATTTTATTCCAATTACATTAGTTCTTCTTCCTCAGAGTAGGCATCAAAGGAAAAATGTACCTGTTCTTTACCTGTTTCATTTGGCCAACTGTGATATTTTTAATGCTGTAAGTTTCCAGTTAGTAGACTCATGAGACTCCAAAGTAACTGCATAAGGACCAGGAGACACATATGCACTAAAGCACTGTAGGTTGAATGAGTATTACTGTTTTTTAATGTAGATATGGTTATAATCAGTAGAGTTTTAAAATCATTAGGAAATATATTTGAATTCAGAGTATATTTTGTATATTTGTATTTTTTCAGATAAAAGGTACCAAAGTTATACTGCTGTCATTTGAGTGTCCTTGAAATGTTTTAACTTTATAAAGGGAGTCCTGTAGAAGGGAGACCTCTGGGGTGTTGTAAATGTTCTTTTTCCTCGTGACCCAGCTGGTCGATAGGTGGATGGTATATTCACTTTATGATAATTAACTGAAATGTACTTTTTGATAAGTGTGTTGTATTTGAATCAAAAGTAGGGTTTTTTGTTGTTGTTGTTTTTAAGTGGGTTGTAAGAGAGTCCTCATAATTCTAAAAGATTTGGAACAACTGCATTAAAGCAAGATTTGTCATATGCCTGTGCCAAATGACAGGAGCATTGCACCATAATTCCTCCCACCCTTCCAGTGTACCCAAAAACTAAACCCATTGCTGTCGAGTCAATTCTGACTCATAGTGACCCTGTAGGACAGAATAGAACTGGCCCATAGAGTTTCCAAGGCTGTAATCTTTATGGAAGCAGACTACTACATCTTTCTCCCACAGAGTGGCTGGTGGATTTGAACTGCTGATCTTCCAGTTAGCAGCCCAGCATTTAACCACTGCGCCACCAGAGCTCCTTCTTCCAGTGTAAGGGATAGGCATGTTTAGGTTGGGGTAGGGGGGACAATGTTGCTAGATGATTTTTAATGAACTAGTGATAACCTGAGGTTATCAACCTAACTGTTAAGCTTCCAGACAGTCCAGCAATTGTTCATGTGTCTTATTTTGTGTCTTTTAATTTAAAAACCTGTCCCATGGAGTCGATTCTGACTATAGAGACCCTACAGGACAGAGTAGAACTGCCCTACAGGGTTTCCAAGGAGTGGCTGGTGGGTGTGAACTGCCGACCTTTTGGTTAGCAGGTGAATGCTTAATCTCTGCGCCACCAGGGCTCCATTTGGCACAGTGGTTAAACGCTGAGACGGGCAACAGGTTTTTATTTTTTAATTTTTAGTTTAGGAAACCCTAAACCCAAGCCTACCTTATCAGCCTCCACTTTTACTTTAAATTGAAGCTATTCCACTTATTTCTCTTGGTTCATCACAGCAGGAACATACCTTGCTTGATTCCATTTTGCTGTTGTTCTTTATACTTTTATCTTCTGATTAGACTGAGATTCCGTGCATATTCCTGGGCTCCACCCAAGACCTACTGAAAAGTAATTTGTGGTATGGGTATCTGGGAATTTTCTTTTTAATAAGTTCCTCAGGCAGTTCCCTAGGTGATTGAGAGCCACTGCTTTATGCTAGGCTTTCAAGCATCAACTCAACTTTTCTTTTTCATGAAAGAATTGTCCTTGCTTAGGAACATCCTCCTCTGAACTCCTATCTGTACTTCTTACTGGCTGTAGATCTTCGCAACTTTGTACTTACCTTAATCTCCAACTAGATAGTAGCCTCTTAGAGTGGAGGTCAACGGACTTTTTCTGTAGAGGGTCAGACAATAAATGTTTTAGGTTTTATGGGTCATAAATATTTCAGGCTTTGCAGACCATATATGTTCTCTGTTATAATTACCCAACTCTGTCATGGTAGTACAAAAGCAGCCATAGACAATACATAAATGAATGAACATGGTTGTGTTCCAATCAAACTTTATCTACAGACACAAAAAGTTGAATTTCATATTCCCACATGTCAGGAAATGTTAGTCTTTTGATTTTTTTTTTACCCAACCATTTAAACATGAAATTCTTAGCTCATAAACCATACAAAAATATGTGATAGACTGGGTTTGGCCAGTGGGCCATAGTTTGCCAGTCCCTGCTGTAGGCTATCACTCTAACATATTATATATACAGTAAATATATGAGCACCGAGTGGGTTAACTGTAACAATCATATTTTTCACAGAGCATATGTTACTCATCTTTGTGATAATATTACCTAGCATACTGACTAGTTCATAAGTATGTGCTCAATAAGTGTTTAAGTCAATTTTCAACTTTTCCCTAGAGTTAATGCCAGGGTTATCAGTGTTTTCTATTTTCTTAAATCAAAATCTTTTTTTTCGTACGTGTTTGAATAGGAAGGCCCGAATAGTCTGATTAACGAAGAAGAGTTCTTTGATGCTGTTGAAGCCGCTCTTGACAGACAAGATAAAATAGAAGAACAGGTATGTCAATTTTTAAAGATTCTAAGCTGAAATTCATTTTAACATCATATGCATTTCTTTATATATGTTATTTCAAATAAATAGAATTTGAAAATTGTAAACCTAATAACCTAGAAAGTTAGCTTGTGTCTACACTGAGTCACAAATGTAGAAGAATCTTTATAAGTCAGTTTCCTCATTTATCAATTTCCAGGCAATAGAAAGAAGACCAATTAATTGTTTAAAGGAGGTATGCCTAATTAACATGAAGTTAAATGGAAATGTTCTGCCTATTCCCCTTGAAGTGTCTCGAGCATACCTTTAGTCTGAATAAAACAGTCTCTGAATTTCTATTCACCAGGTACCAAATATGAATTCAAAAGGAAGATGACCAAGAGTTTAAAAATTTTCCTTCCCGCCTCCCTTCCCAAATTATGTACACAGGGTTGTTTGTTTCTTTTATAATATCTTAATTCATAATCAGGAAAGAATAAAAGGATATGAAACAAAGTGCCTACCCTAACTGATTTCTGTTTTTTGGTTTTATTCTGTATTAGTATCATTTATTTAGCTTTTATTATTTAACCCCTTTATTGCTGTCACTACTTTCACCTTCAGTTTCTTATTTTTACTTTGCTCATTGTTTTAACATCATCACTGAATTCAGAGCACTTATACCCAGGTCCTTCTGTGGAAATTAAAGGAAAGCATTTCTTAAATCCCTTAACTCTGGTTTCCAGATTAATTTGATCCTTTGACCTCTTTAATTTCGCAACAATGCAACTACCGTATTTTAAGGGTGAATTTTAGTTACTATGCTCTGACTAAGCTATGTTTCTCATGATGGAAACGTAACCTTCCTTTTGAGCGACTATGAATTAACTGTGACTATCAAATATCTGGAGCCCTGGTGGCGCACTGGTTAAGAGCTCGGCTGCTAACCAAAAGGTCTGCAGTTCGAATCCACCAGCCATTCTTGGAAACCAGTTCGACTCTGTTCTGTAGGGTCGCTATGAGTCGGAATCGACTCAACGACAGTGTTGTTTTTTGGTTTTTATCAAGTATCTAGTAAATAAATCATATACATACCAGTTTTATACTAAAAATTGACTCGTATAGAAAAGTTGGCTTGATTTTCGTTTCCTATTCTAAGGGCATGTCACCTGCAGTGTTGAGTTTTTGCTTTTTTCATGTTTCTTTTTTTTGTAATCCACAAAAAAACTTTATGTCACATTACTTTGTAAAGCTTATTGCTCACTTTTTATGCCCAAAAAGATGCCGGCTAAATTATGTAACAATAAGAGTGGGAACTTTCAGTTTGTAAATGAGCTGTACTTTTAGAAGCCTAAAGTATTACATGAAGTAGCATCTTTCTGTTGTTGGTTGTCTCCCACCCAGCACACGTTTTCTCCCCCTCTAGGATGTGCTGTTTTGGAAAGAGAAGTGAACTACGGAGTCAGGACGCTTTGGTCTTATTCTTTGTTTTGCCACTAACTGTGTAGCTACGGACTTATCACTTAAATTCTTTCGACCCTGGTTTTTTAATCTGTGAAACAAGGGCGTTAGACAAGGTGATTCAAAACATCCTTTCTGGTTCTAAAATGCTACTTTACTGTCACTACAGTAGTTAGTTGGAGCTTAAAAGAGGATCAATGAAAACTTCTGGAAGCCTTAGAAAATGAAATATTCATAGGGCTATCAAATCATTTAATTTCAGTCATTTATTCAGACACTCTGGTATATGAGCCACAAAACAAGTCATTAAACAGACCATGAATTTTCTTGCCCATAGTCAGGCACATAGATATATTTACAAAGATAATTACAGTATAGTAATGCTCTAAATTAGTAAACTTAAGTAATTCATGAAATCAGTTTCATAGGTTCAGATCATTTCTTTTATTATATATGGTATATATCGTACAGGGCTCTCAACAATATAGCCAGTAGATAGATATTCTCCATTGACACTCATATTACACATTTTTGAGTTTACTTTATCTGCAAACATAAGGAAAGATACGCAGTAAATTGTTAAGTGAGAAGTGAGGTCTTAGGAGGTGTGTTCGGACAGTGTTGAATAGAAATTACCACCTGTCTTCTTTATAGTTAGAAAAGAAGCACCCACACAACACAGCACAGTTTCTGGCATATTATATTTAGTAAATATTTGTTGAATGAATCAGGTGGAATTAACTAGGCAAGCTAAGAAGGAAGAAAGAGGTCAAGTGTCAGCTTAATGGGAGTGAGATGATAGGATGAAGGCAGAAGACCTGCATGAAAAGGAGGCAAAGAGATATATATGATATGTTCTTGGGAACATAACTGAAACAGTGACATCGGTTCTAATGATACATAAGCCTATGGCCAGGCCTACATGGCCTGCTGAGGTAGAATGGTTGGAATGGTTTGGCTTGAGTTTGGATAGGAGAAAATTATTTTGGCAGCAGTATTAAAATTGGCTCATGGTAAGATGCTGTGCAGGTATTAGAGAGTCTGAATAGGAGCAAAATTAAAGAGCTAATCCCTGGTCTAAGGTAGTGTCGATAGAGTCAGAAAGAAGAGATTGGATTGGAATATGTGAAACGTCAAGATTTGAAAAGGCTGTGTCTCTAGTGTAGTTTTATAATTCAAATATTTATAAATACTAAAGTGTTCAGTAATGAAATGTTAGTAGTTCCAGTTATATTATCTATTCCAAAGGCATAAAATACACTTAAAAACCTTCCCATCTTAACAGTTTATGTTTTCTTAGTCACAGAATGAAAAGGTCAGGTTACATTGGCCTACATCCTTGCCATCTGGAGATGCCTTTTCAACTGTGGGGACTCACAAATTTGTCCAAAAGGTAAGTTAATGTCAGTTTACACAAAGTCTATGTTGTATTGTTCTTTACTGTTGATGAACTATCTTATATAAGTTTTTTCCCCTTTTCTTGAATTTAAATATTGAAATTTTTTTTTATACTACATGTTGTATTCCATATATTAAAAAAAAAAAAAAAGCCAAACTCATTGCCGTCAAGTCAATTCCTCCTCATAGTGACCCTATAGGACAGAGTAAAACTGCCCCACAGGGTTTCCAAGGCTGTAATCTTTACAAAAGCAAATTGCCACATCTTTCTCCCATGGAGCTGCTGATGAGTTTGAACTGCCAACATTTTGGTTATCAGTCAAACCCTTAACCACTGTGCTACCAGGGCTGTTTGTATTCCATATACATCCTCCAAAGTAGAAATCTAATTCTGAACATAATGTTCTTTCTTTTTAAAAAAAAAGTGGGATGAGTGGGTAGCAGGGTGGCTAGACCAAAATAATTAACTAGAGTATAGCCAGTTATATTAAGTCTCTTTCTTCTTTGGGGTTAAGTGGTAATATTTTGTGTTATTGGAAGCACTACATTCTTTTTAGAATGATTTTGGAGCATAATACATAATAGGTGCATGAAGTCAGCACTTGCTGCTGTGCTTGTTTCATATGGTGCTTTGTTTTCTCTTTCTTTATCTTGTGTTTGGAAGTTGGTACTGAATGCTCTGTTGTGCCTTTGTTCTGATTACTTGGTTTTTTCTTTGTCTGTCTCTGGTAGCCCTATAGTCGCTCTTCCTCCATGTCTTCCATTGATCTTGTCAGTGCCTCTGACGATGTTCACAGATTCAGCTCCCAGGTACTGTATGAATGTATAGAGTGAACTTGAGTCTTTCTGTGCTATATGCCAGCCTGCTTTCCCAGTTCCTAGAAATCTTCTGGTTAGACCACTTGTTTTGGTTTTGAAATTTAAACAATAATAAACATTAAAAACGCCTTCCTTATCTACTAAATAGTTCCTCTACCAGGCTTGCATGTGCCCTTTACTTTGTATCCTCTGCTGTGAATAGCTTGGAGTTTTGCCATATAGTCAGTACTCTCAAAAGATTTTCATACGGAATTGAAAACAAATAGAAGGTACCGCATTTTTATATATCATGTAGTATCTGTTTTCTCAGACAGGATTGAGCAATCTTGATGGACATGATCTGCAGAATATGTTTGTAATATTAAAAAGCAGATTTCAACAGTCTAACTTTTAATCTATTTAAAATATCTAGAAAGTTGTATTCAGTTGGGAAATAACTTTAAATAAATATTCATCTCATTATCAATATATTAATAAACTCCATTGAATAGGTTGTGTTTTCCTTATGCAAATTACCCTTGGATATTACAAATTAATATTCCCACTGATATGCTAAGTCTGTGGAAACTGTTAGGTTTACTTAGAATAATTAAGATTTTAGGAATTTAAGACAGGAAGCTAGATGCCTGCAGTCTCTGCCCTCAAAATCAGATTACTATTGTAGGAATAATTTTTTAGTATCTGCGGCATTAGTTTACTTTTTTTTTTTTTAATCTTCACATCTTTGACATCAACTTTGTATCTTTATTGTGATTGCATTTTATTGGCTGGTGATTAAGAACCTGAGCTCTTTAGTCAAAATGACCAAGTTTAAATCCTAGTTAGCTGTGTGATGTTGGGCAAGTTTTCTAACATTTCTGTGCTTCACTTTTGTGATCTAGCTAACACTGTGAGCTAGCTAGTGCCTGGCACATAGTAAGTGATGAATACGTGTGGCCTTTTATGAGCTATTATTGTAACGTAATTTCTTTGAGCTAATCTAAGTTATCTACATTATCTTTTTTTCTCTACCAGAGTATTCCAGTACAAGTTTTTAAAAGTCATAGTTTAAAATAGGCTTCTAATATTTTACATGTACAAATAAAATCTACATTTTTAATTATTTTGTTGAGAATATATACAACAAAACATACACCAGTTCAGCAGTTTCTGCATGTACAGTTCAGTGACATTGATTACATTCTTCAAGTTGTACAACCATTCCCTCCGCCCGTTTCTGAGTTGTTCCTCCCCCATTAACATAAACTCACTGTCTGTCCCCTAAGGTTCCTGTCTAAACTTTTGAGTTGCTGTTGTCAATTTGATCCCATATAGTTCTTAAACGAGCATAATGCTCAAGCAATTTACATTAATTTTTCACTGTACAATAGAGAAGAAAATTAAGTTTAAGACTCAAAATGTATTTTTCTGACTTTTGTAACTTTTTCATACTTGAATATTTTATGAGAGAGGTTTAGCATTTCTTGATCAGAAATCACCCATGCCCAAACTTTATTACAGTATTTCTTACTTTTGCTCATTCATTTATGTATGTTTTTTAAAAAAGTAACTCATTACATTCACAATAAGTTAGTGACAAAATTAGATAATACTTGGAGACCTTGGTTTAGTCTACTAAGTTCACCTTGTATGAAAGTAATAAAGTAACAGACTAACTAAAAACTGTCAGTACTGGTCACCATTTTCCAGGAAATGGAAAGAGGAATACACAGGCTGTAAATTAAAGAAAATGTTATGGGAACAAGGAAAAAGTTAAGCCTCTGCTAGAGAATGCCTGAGAATTAAGGCGTCAGAACAGACCTTTTCTAGAGCCATGGAAAAGCCAAAGATCTTCAGATATAAGTGAGCAGACATCGCTGAGGAGCAGGGGCCCTTGGTTTTTACTAGACTTTGCCACATTGAAGCTTACTTCTTTATGTAATTTTTTATGTAACTCTTATATAAAAGTTGAGAAATTAATCTTTCGGAGGGATATATATATATCTAGTTTAATAATCATGCTCTTGATTAATCAGGCTGTTTTAGCTTTTGATTTTTTTTACTGTTGTATATATCAAAAGAGGTAAAAATGAAGAAAATAATGTTAAAGTCTTCTTTGTCCTTACTAACATTTGTTGTCTGCAGACTTGGGCTCCGGCAATTAACTTTTTTTTTTTTTCTTGACATTTTATTGTGCTGTAGGTGAAAGTTTATGTAGCAGATTTTCCAATCAATGATTCTTACACAAATTGTTCCATGACCTTGGTTTCAATCCCCTGCAGTGTGTCAGTACTCTCCCCCTTTCCTCCCTGGGTTCCCCTTTTCCATTAGTCCAGTTTCCCTGTCCCTCTCTGTCTTCTCATCTTTGGTTTTGGGTAAATGTTTCCCTTTTGGTCTCGTATAGTCAGTTCTAAGGAACACATTCTTCACGGATGTTACTGTTTATTTTGTAGTCCTGTGGCAATTAACTGTTTGTTAAACTGTTTACCTGATGTTTAGCACCTTCAGGGTAACTAATTCTAAGTTGATAAGTTTGCTTGTTTTAGAGGATATTGCACTGCCTTATCTCCCATTCCAAAGGATTTACAGTTAGCACATCCTGCCTTATATACCAGGCAAAGTTCTGTAAGAAGCTCTAAAGTATTCATTAATGTTAGAAAAACAAAAGCTGTTACTAAGATATAACAAGTATATTTTTTCGTGTTGTGTGTGTATATTTGTGTGTCCTCATGTCATTTCTTAAAATATTTTGAGTTAGCCATATTCTTGATTTTATTATATCTTGACAGCTAATTTAAAACGTAAGTTATAAAGTTTGTCATCACTTTTAATAATTTGCTAAAATACGATTTAAACATAAAACCACAATCAATTTACATTTGCTCCAACATCTTTTAAAAGTGCAGGCATATATACAGATGCAATATCTAGTTTCTTGATCGTTTGTATCACTTCCCATGAAGCCCTCTAAACATTGTATAATTTGGTTTTGTCATCTACATGGGAGTTTCGGCTGATAAAACTAGCTTGTTCTTGTTGAAATAATCTTCATAATCCTGATTGGGAAATATAAAACTAAGGAATTCCCTGAAAATAACTTCAAATAAAATATCCGAATCTGCTAGGAAATTACTAACAGCCCATGAATTTGCCTGATGGGCAGACACTGGGAATGAAGTAGCTCTAAATCTGAGAAGGAGCTGTAGAGGACTACGAGTTCTTGAAACAATGGCTATAGCCACAAATTAGGGAATAATCTTTAAGTATACAGAGAATAGAAAGGACTTGGATTTATAAATGAATCCGTTTGGTCGCGTTTATTTGTGTAACACGGTTACTAGCTAAAGATGTCATCTTAAAGGGGAAAAAATTGTCCTCTGTAAAAAAAAAAAAACAGTACATCTGCAGGTTAATCTATGGTGAACATCACTGCAAAATTTTTGTGTGAAGCTCTTTTCCAGTTTATGTTCATTATAACACATTATTATTGTGGTAATTATTTTGTTTCCTCCCTTTCTTTTTTATACAAGTTAATACATGCTAATTTTAATAAAACTAGAAAGCAGAGTAAATAAAAATATTGTATCATTATTAATATTCTCATGCATATTCTTCTATACTTTTTCAGTTAATACGTGTGTGTTTAATACATACATACATACACGCACACCTTTATAATTGTCTTTTTTCTAACAAAGTAGGTAATTCTATATATACTGTTTTATAACATTTTTTTTAACTTATATGTAGTCCCATCTCCCCATCAATAAATATAGATCTGCCTCTCATTGTCTATTGTATGAATGTACATTCTGGATTTACCTACTCACCTAATATTGAACATTTAGTTTATTTTCAGTTTTTCTTTATTATAAATAGTGGTAAAACAAACATCCTTGTATATATATCTTTGTACATTTATTTAATTACTTCCTTAGACTATATTCCTAGAAGTGGAATAGTTAGGACAAATGCCATGCACATTTTTAAGTTTTTTATTTATATTGCCAAGCTGTTGGTTAGAAAAGTTGAACCAGCTTGCACTCTCAGGCCAGGTTTCCTTTGTTATACTAATAATTCAGTTAATTTTTTCTTGTCTGACAGACTAAAAGTGATATTTTTTGCTTCTTGGCCATTTACGTTTCTTCAGTGAATTAACTTTTTATGGCCGTGGCTATTTTTCTTTTGGGTTAACAGTACACTATTAATTTGTTTTTAATAAATGATTCTATCCAACAAATGCTGTATGACTTTCTGACTCTTAACAGGAAGCTTAATTGTATTTCTTTCACATGGTTAAGAAGAGACCTGAGCTGTGTTTGAGACCTTCTAGACTTTTGTCATACCACCAAAGAGCAATTTGCTTCTCAGTTTCGGTGTTAATATTATTAGAAAAATCCAATTTGGTAGCCTCCTAAAATGGCATCATACTGAATGATTCAAATGTGAGGTAGAAGAAAAGGTTAGAATCAGAGTGATGTTACCTCTTATCGAAAATGTATTTCATCTCTATTTTTTTAATAGTTCATTTGGTGTGACTGTATTGTGTGTGTCAGCTCATTATTTTCAACACCAGGTCCAAAAATGCAAGAGCATGATTCCTGCAATTATGTTTAATGTAATTACAACTTGCTAATAACACTTGCTTTGATAATTTTGATCCCATTTTTTTTTTATTGTTAAATGAAGTTTACATTTCAAGTTAGTCTCCCATACAGAATTTTTTTTTTTTATATACATTGTTACGAGACCCCAGCCGCTCAGCCCGTTCTGCAACAGCACACTCCTGCCTTCCACCCCTGATACCCCATGTCCATTCAGCCAGCTCCTAACTCTCTCTGCCTTTCCATCTCACCTCTGGACAGAAGCTGCCCCTTTGGTCTCCTGTATCTACTTGACTAAGATGCACATTCTTCACAAGTACCACTTTATGTCCCACAGTCTAGTCCAATCCTTGTCTGAAGAGTTGGCTTTGGAAATTGTTTTAGTTCTGGGGTGATAGAGAAACCAGGGGCCATGCTTTCCAGGGCGCCTCCAGTCTTAGTCAGACCATTAAGTCTGGTCTTCTTACTAGAATTTGAGTTCTGCATCCCATCGTTCTACTGCTCCATCAGGGACCCTCTGTTGCGTTCCCTGTCAGGACGTTCATTGGTGGTAGCCGGGCACCATCTAGTTCTTCTGGTGTCAGGCTGATGAAGTCTCTGGTTTGTGTGGCCCATTCTGTCTCTTGGGCCAATACTTTCCTTGTGTCTTTGGTGTTCTTTGTTCTCCTTTACTCCGAGTGGTTGGGACCAATTGATGCATCTTAGACCTTTTTTTTTTTTTTAAATGATAATAATGTTATTAGAATATTGAATTTTGAGCCTAATGATAATTTGGCTTGTGTTTATTCTTGTCATCAAACTTAATGGTTCCTTGTTTCCCACACATTTGATATGCAGATCATAATTGAAATCAGTAAACTAAGCAGACCGTGCGTGAGGTTAGATCTGAAGTGTCAGTGTAATCATGAATGCCCAAGTCACTGACCCTGTAGAACATTGGCTACTTCATAGTTTATTGCCATGAACATAAAATTCTTTATAGTGAGATTTTACCCGTATCACCTTTGTCTTAACCTTAATATTATTACCTCAAGAAAAATTCCGTGATGAATGAAGGCTTTGCAGAGATGGTTACTGCTGTAATTGAGGACATTATTAGTTACTTTAATTTCCTAGGAGCACAGCACTAAATATATCTTTTTTGTTTGTTTATTTATTGGACCTTTTCAAGGAAGTATTAAGAACAAAAGATTTTGGTATATGAAATGGCTTTAAATTTAGAGATGTCCAGTATTGGGTCTTTATTGGTGTTTCAGTAATTTAAAAAAAAAAAAAAAAGTTAAGATCTTGAAGTCTAAAGATATAAAAGTTTCTCCCAATCACAATGTGATACAGACAAATGAATCAAGCCAGCACTACTGTCTGTGGTTGTTTTATTTATGTACACTAACTGGAATTTTCCTTTTGTCTTCCTCATTTGGGAATCAGATACATTTTGTATGTAACTGTAACTTGGAATTCTGGTTAGTCACTCTTACCCTCTCAGAGCAGATTTCAAAATTATAGAAACACACAGGTTTCTCCAAGCATCAACTGAAAGTTTTGTTTTCTAATAGAGGCTTTGTAAAATTGTAGATTTTACAGTTTGTAAGATTTTAAAGTGTCTCTTAAGTCTGTAACCCAACACCACTCACATTATTTTGGGAATTATGAATAAGGAATAAAAAAAAATTATGTGTTCTGTAAATGTGTTCATTTACTACAAAAATAGATTGTAGAATTTTATAAACATTTTGTTCAGAAACTTTATTTGACATTATTGCCAAAACCATACATACTTTTAGTAACCAAAAATGAATTCTAAGATCCAGAAAACTTGACATAGCAGGAATACACATCACAATTACATATTGATAACATCCTTTACTTAGTACAGAAAAAAATATTTTCCCAGGGTTAATAATTTAATTTAAGAAGTTCTGCCTCACAGACGATAATATTTTGTATTTCAAAATATGTTTGATCCTGATTCCTTGTTCTGTATCCCTAATCAACACAATAAACTTTATATAAAATAAGGAATTAAACTTCGGATAAATTTTTAAATGGAAGTACAATATGAATATTTCCTAACCTCTCATTTTCTGCCTTCTATAATTATTACATAAAGCAAAATTATTAATGAAGGTTTGAAAACAGAGCTTAGAAAAGATGTTGATGTCTATGGATAAATGATGAAGGAGCTGGTTCTTTGAGACACGATCTTACCTATCACTTTGGTGCTGCTTAAAAACACGTTTCAAACTGAGAGACTACAAAGAATGCTCATGTGAATTCTTATTAAATCTGATTAGGATTCTGGGAGTCTGAAATATTCCACTTTCTTTGCTTATATAAGATGTATAGGGGTAATTTGTGATAGTTAAAAGCAGAGGTTAAATAAGAGAAACAGTGTGCAAGGGGGAGATAAGGTATATGGGAACTTTACTTTCTACACAGTATTTCTGTAAACATAAAACTGCTCTAACAAAGTCTATAAAAATTAAAAAACAGAAGTTGCATTTAAATTTCAGCAATAGAAATTTAGAAAGAATGAACTAAGAAGTGATTATTTGTAAATCTTTGCATATATGAGGATTGGCATTAACCCTACAAGAATTTAGAACAATGAAGTTGGAATCAAATAAATAGGAGGTTGATTATGTTTAAGTTGGCTTTTATTTATGATACAAGAGAAGTTTATCATAAGTGAAATAAGTAAAGTTTTGTTACCCTTTTCTAGGGAAATCACTGACATATATATAACAAGCTTTCTAATACCCCTCTGTAGTCTAAAATATAAGGACACTGTACTAGATGATCTCCTTGTGTCCCTTTTATCCTTAGTATTCCATAATTTTATGCTTTAAGGCATCATCTTTGTAAGGAAGCATTTTATGGTAGAGGATGGAATATTTCTTTTTTCCAAGAAATGCTTATTTTGCTCACCTGATGCACATAGGCCAGTCTGTGTCATCTGAGCAACACATCCTCCTTCCTTGCACTCCCCCCACCCCCCCATCATTACCCTAATATCTGGAATGTGGACTAAAACTCTACAACACTCTCTAAAACCTACTAACTTTGTGCATTTGGTTGCTCGGCTTCCTAAGAGCACCATTTCTGAAATAATGTAAACTAAATTCAGGTTTCCCCAGCTATCTGAAAGTAGAGCGTTCCTATGAAACCTTTTGTAAGCTGAAGTAAAGCAAAGAAGCAATTACAATTAATTTATATGGGAAAAAATTTTGAACATCCCCAGACTAAAAAAAATAACCTACCAAATCATACCAAATAACACATAAAACCTAAAATAACACTAACATACAGTAAAGGCAGGAATGATATGATAAATACAAAGTGTATGTAAAGTAGAAATCATGTTATGTACAGTATAATTTCCAGGAAATGAGCATGGTGATGCTACTTTCGCTGCTCAGGGTGTGCATTGCCTCTTTAACAGCTCACTGCAAAACAAATGCTGAAGGCTAGTTGGGCTTTTCTCCTTTTTTCGTAGAAGCAAAAATTCTCTTTGGATTTCTTTGAGTTATCGAAAACAGATACTAATGTAGGTCTTTCATAGAAGCGAAGTGACATAAAGCGAACTTTCAAAAAGCGGGGGATACCTGTACATTCTGTGTAAGCTATTATGACAGCTATTAACTGGATGAGGGTTCTCATGGCTTTCTTTTTTTCTTTTCAAGGTTGAAGAGATGGTACAGAACCACATGACTTACTCATTACAGGATGTAGGCGGAGATGCCAATTGGCAGTTGGTGGTAGAAGAAGGAGAAATGAAGGTAATTCCCACTGAATAATTAAAGAATCAATCCAGAAAGTTTATAGGTTGCCGATTGCACCTCTGTTACAATGATGTTATTGTTACTGTTGATGTAAGGGTAGTGTTTTAAAATTATTTTAAAATAGAAATTATTATGTATCAGAGAAGTTCCAGATATTGAGAAATAAAATGTCCTTTTGCTTCCCTGGCTTAGTTTTTACAAACTTTTTTATGATTATAATGTAAATTTGTGCCCAAACCATTCTGTTTTGTCTAGCCTATGGAGAAAGTTAAAAGTTAAACATACGTAAACAGGTCACACTTAGCTGATGCCTTGCCATTTATTTGAATGTTTCTTTTTATTTTATTATATTTTTGATATACTGAATGTTGTGTCCAGATGTCATTTTGTTTCACTCGTTCTTTGGTCTGTAGGCTCACTTTTTGTCCTTTCTCTCACTCCATCTTTTTGAGATCTGAACATTGGGTCTGCAAATCTTGGTCACATATCTAAACACAAGAGACAGACAGTAAGAGCAAGGAATGGAAAGAATACAGAGATAGATTGAAAAGCAGCAGCAGCACTGAATTTTGGATTATCTCATGCCCAAGCCACTGTGCTAAGGATATAGAAGTGTTTAATAAGACACTCTCCAAGCTGGCACTTTAGTTGCAGACAGGGGATGTTCACATTTAAAAGATAAGTTTACTTCTCTCCATCTGATGATGTATTGAATGGAGAGTACAGATGGAGTAGTAAAGAAAATTGGAAAAGAACGGGATCTCTGTGATTTGAAACAATTTTGTTATGTTTTACACTGAGGAGGAACACTTGAACTGTGTCTGAAAATAATATTGTGACAAAGATGAGGGCATTTTAGGCAAGGAAAATATATAAGCAAAACTTCAAAGCAAATTTCTTATTTAGGATTTTTCTCATAGACTGTTGGCCAGAATTATTCTAGCAGGTGAGATACAAGAAATAAGATAGAGGAGACAGGCAAATAAGATATCAAAATGTTAGCTACATTTCTGGTAAGCTGATTGGAGAAGATGGCTTTAGATCAACAACCACAAAGGCATACAGATACATTGCCCCAGAATTAAACATAGTATCTCTGACATAGCTGGGTAATCACAAGCCTTCCCCACAGGAGCAGGCCCCAAAAGCAAACCAAGATGCATGTGCTCTGCACATGCAACAACAGAGTTGATCCAAGCTTGCCTATCCTACAGCCCACAACAGTAGAGAGATTGGGGCTGGTTTACAGGGAGCGGAAAGTAACCCACTAAAGAGAACAGTCTGTTGTCTGCAGCGGTAGGTGAGCCACTGTGTGCAAAGTAGCATTTTAAGAAGAATGATCTGATAGGAAAGAAACTGGAGACCAAGAAGACCACTTAAGAGTTGGGTGTAAGATGATGAAAGCCTACCTAGAGCAGGTTAGCAACAGTAGAGAAGTCCAGCTGTTGTATGTCGTCTTGTTATTAGCTGCCATCGAGTAGATTCCCACTCGTGGTGACCTCACGTATGAGAGTAGAACTGCTTCATAGAGTTTACAAGGCTGTAACTTTTCTGAACCAGATCTCTGCCTGTCTTCTGAGGTGTTTTTGGCTGGGTTTAAACTGCCAACCTTTTGGCTAATAGTCAAGCACTTAACCATTTGTGCCACCCAGAGACTCTATTTGGATGCCTCATAGATGAGTAGTAAGTTTAATAGCTCTGTGAAGTATGAAGGGGAAGAGTCAAGAATCTAGAATTTCCAGTTTGGGAAAATGGTAGTCCCAATAATGTGAATACATAAGTGTGTAGGAGAAGGTAGTTTAGAGAGAGAAAGATTGTAAAAGAGAAAATGTATGTGAAAATGTCTAAAAGTGTTTGACCTCATAGACACTCTTTAAACTGAGAGCTGATTCTCCCTGTGATTTATTCATTCATTCGTTTCTTAAAGGAATTTATCACAGAGCTCTTTTAAATAGCAAACCCTCTATAATTTTGAAGTAATTTCTTTTACTCGGCACACAAGCTCAGTACTTAAAGTATTTAAAGCAAAATCTGATTTTATAATCTTTTTGCCATTTTAACTTTCAGTTATTGATTCAACAAATACTTGAGTACCTACTCTGTTTCAGATACTGTTCTGGGTTCCTGGAATACAGCATTGAACAAAGCAGCCTTAAAGCAATAATCCTTAAGGAGAACATATTCTAACCAGGTTTATTTAGCCTTTTTACGATGTTAAGCAGTCTTTGAGACTGTTCTGTAAATAATACCTAATTTAAATTGATATAGTTATTAATAACTCATAATAAAAGCTCATAACAATTAGTCATCACATATGCATTTTTTTATAGTTGAAGTTTACCTTGGATTTATAGTTTCAAATATGTTTCATTTGCTATGTGAATAAACAAATTTGTTTTGATTTCCTTTAGCAGAACATTTCATAGATTTTCATAAATAAAACTCTAAAAGCTAAATTTGAAAGCAAATTTAAGCATGCTTTCAAATTTGTACTTTAGATGTTTAATTTTCATTTTTTAAGCAGATTTTTAAATATATTCTCTTTAGGTATACAGAAGAGAAGTAGAAGAAAATGGGATTGTTCTGGATCCTTTGAAAGCTACCCATGCAGTTAAAGGTGTTACAGGACATGAGGTCTGCAATTACTTCTGGAATGTTGATGTTCGCAATGACTGGGAAAGTAAGCTGTTGTTATTAATATATTTTAATCTAGTTATTATTTTAAATTTAATTTCAAATCAACCTGATTTTCTGTATCTTATCTATAGTTTACAAAGTCAAAGTAGAAAATATCTGGAGTATCATATTAAAAAAAAAAAAAAAAGACCCCATTGCCATCAAGTCAGTTCTGACTCAGTGACCCTATAGGCATAGGAGGGGGAGAAAAACCAACTCAGCACATAATATTAAAACATCACATATATGCAACAAGTTACTTTAAGGACTTATGACTACTCATTGCTCAGTATTAAAATTTCACACAAAATCTTAGAAATGCAAAAACACCACTCTCTCAGAAACACACGAAGGGAATGTAATATGACTTAGAAGTTAAAATTAGAGCCGTTATTCCCTGTCCTTGAGTATAAAGAATATGATCCAGCTGGAGCTAGACTCACAAGAATGCATCATTTGGACCCTGAGGTATAAAAACAATAGCTAGGATAGTCTTAGAAAACATCTTTTAGGAAACCTTTCATATAAACAAATACTTAGAGCACAAAACACTCACGTATTTTCCACTGTTATCTTTTTCCGTTCCCCGAAAAATCCCCGAGGCTGTTGCCATCCAGTGGATTCCGACTCATAGTGACCCTATAGGACAGAGTAGAACTGCCCCATAGCATTTCTGAGGAGTAGCTGGTAGATTCAAACGGCCAGCCTTTTGGTTATCAGCTGACCGCTTAACCATTGTGCCTCATTTAGTATATAGTAAGATTTGTTGGACCAATGAAGGCCCTCTTCACTATCGTTACTGAAACTTGTACCAATGATTATTAAGAAATACAATTCAAAATGTAGAATCACAATGATTTAGCAGTTTTTAGCCAGCCAGTCTGTGAAAACATGAAGCTTTTAATGATTTTACCCATTTGTAATGTCAGTATATACTGATGATTCTGTAATATTCCTTGGACTCAGGCAGACATGGCTCTGGCAGCATGCTTGTCCATTTCCCACTTTGGCCTCTTGGAACATACGCCAAATCGTTCTTCTTGCTTTTCTATAACTTTGTAGTGCTTTTACCCTAAGACAGATACCATCCCTTCATGCCCTTGTCATTATTAATCCTCCTGCCTGAAGTGCCATCAACTCTGCCCAGATCCCTCTCTGATTAGAGGTGAAATCATGGAGTAGACTCTGGAATCAGACTTCCTGGGTGTGAATTCTGACTCTACCTCTTCCTAGCTGTTACACCCAAAAACCAAAACCATTGCGGTCAAGTCGATTCTGACTCATGGCGACCCTGTAGGACAGAGTAGAACTACCCTATCGGGTTTCCAAGAAACAGCTGGTAAATTCGAACTGCTGACCTTTTGGTTAGCAGCCAAGCTCTTAACCACTGCCACCAGGGCTCCAGTATCATACAGGGAACTTATAATACCTAAAGTAGAGCTTTTTACTTTACAGAATGCTGTCTAGTATATCATATCGTTTGATCTGATACACGATAATTCTGAATCCAAGTTAGGTATTATTATTTCTCATTTTATGTACAAATAAAGTGAAATCCAGAGAGGTCAGGTAACTCATCAAAGGCCACAGAACTAGTTAGTCGAAAAGCCCTGGTGGCACAGTGGTTAAAGCACTTGGCTGCTAACCGAAAGGTCTGTAGTTAGAACCCACCAGCTGCTCTGCGGGAAAAAGATGTGGCAGTCTGCTTCTGTAAAAGATTTACAGCCTTGGAAACCCTATGAGGCATTTATACTCTGTCCTATAGGGTCGCCATGAGTCGGAATTAACTCAATGGCAGTGAGTTTTTGGTTTTGGTACTTTTAACCTAGACTGTTTTGTTTCCATAATAAATCCTAGATGAATCCTGCTGTGATTAGTTTAGAATAATTGTTGTCATATATATGTTCCCCTTAGACACTAAATTTCAAAAATACATTTACTTCTGAACATCACAGATACTTGTCATTGGCATTTTGACGTAATTTTTTCACAAATATAGTCACCTAAGCCTAGGTGGAATGGTTTATTCAGCTTCAGTAAATTAGGGATTACAGTGAGGAGTCATAATTTGAGCCTGAGTAATACAGTGGTAGTTAGAATTGCTTTCTTGCTGTAGAAGATAGATATTAGGCCAAAGAAAATGAGATTTCCTGGTGATCAGACATCACAGCTACTGTCTATAGCCCTAAAAGTGTTAAATGCCTTCCATTTGGATTTAGCCTAGTTAGGGCAAGCTCCTGTTCATTATGTCCATTTGTAATTGACTTTTAAGGTAGGTAAAGCAATCACATTCTACGAAAAAGTAATATGTCTTTTTGGTTACTAATATTCTCTTCATTTCAGCAACTATCGAGAACTTTCATGTGGTGGAAACATTAGCTGATAATGCAATCATCATTTATCAAACACACAAGGTAAAGATCTCTTCATCCCGAAGGATTTCAGTGTGGTTCAAACTCAGACTCATAAATTCTCTAAATTAAAATTTGGCAAGAAATTAAATGCCACAAAAGATCTAAAGAGTTTATGAATAATTCATGAATGTCTTGTATTGAAAAGGTATATTCAGCTCAGTTAGAGCAGAAATGCGTGCAGGCAAGAATCTGAATGAGAAATATAATGCAGGAACTGTATCTGGTAAAGATCTGTAGTGGATTTCTCTTTATGCACACTTTAAGTCTAGAAAAGAAACTTCTGAAATACTGAAGTTAAATACTTTTCTAGCATCTCTATCAGAGACCAAATAATAATTAACAAATATGAAAGTGAAGGAGAGCTTTCTGTGACAGTAATGATGAGGGGAATGGAAAGTATGTTATCAGCCTCTGTTAAGACTAATAGTTATGAAAGTGATCTAAGTGACTAATCCTGAAAATAATAGAAATTTGCTGAGTATGTGACTCTTGAAAAGTTGGTCATACACCAGAGCAGAGATAAACATTGTGTAATTAAGTTGGTTCCTGTTCACTTCCTTGCAACCTCTGCTTTTGTAGATACTTAAATTGTAGAATTAATATCCCTGCTCTCTCCTTCTTCTGTTCACCTTCTGAACATTGCCAGATAATTCATTGTGTATAGAACAATAAACGGAATTAAAATTTTGGAGAGAGCCACCAAAAGCTAAAGGTGTATATTATATAAGAAATATAATGATTCAGTGGATACTTCATTTTTCTTTATTATATGATTTTTTAATGATCTGAATATATGAAGTTTCTTGAACTCTGTCTTGTCGTCTGAGATATATCTAATGACTGAGCTGGGCTTCGTGTTACAGGTAGCTGTTCAAAAAATGTTAAGAATGAAGATTGTATTTTAGCATATAGATTTTAGTGTCAAGTGTGAAAGCTAAAATTTAGAAAATGTTAAAATACCAGTTAATTTCCCTGTAATTTGGAATGAAGATAACTGACCAGAAATTTAGGTACAAGAGGACCTTTTTATCTGTAGATAATTGATCCTGGAAAACATTCTGCTGAAGGTATTCCACTTAGTAAATAGTAGATGTGTGAGTGGAGGTGTCATACAGATTTTATCAGAATTATTTCTTGAAAAACAAAACTAAAAATTATGAAAATAATGTATCTTCTATGTAACGAAATATAGGTTACAATTATAATTATTTGCCAGTTCTTTGAATAATTGTCCTGGCATAATGTTTTCAGCAAAGTCTAACACTTTTCAACTTCTTTCCCTTTAAATTTGATTTCTTTTGTAGTATAGTCTTAAAAAGGGCTATTCATTTCCTGGCTTTTAAATCATTGTCATTCTTTAAATTCCTGTCTTATCATCCTTGTGGATTTTCATTCATTATTTCTAACTTGGCCAATTTATTATTGGGTTCACATCGATTTGTACAACACCCCTTCCATTGACTTTATGAAATTTTGCATCTTAAAAAGATCAATCATTTCACTTTGCAAACCATTTATGTTGTACTGGCCCTGAGTTGTCAGCTATTTATTACAGTCAGCAATCAGGAAAGATCCTGTGTATAATAAGGACTGAGTTCAGCTACATGTATCAGAAAACCCAAAATAAAAGTAGCTTAAACAGCTACTTGTCTCTCGTGTAAAAGTAGCTAGTCACAGTTATCAGAGTCCTATACTCCATGTCATTGCAGTGGTATATTTTTCCTTGCATACCACAAACTTGAAAAATTTCAGTCTAACTGATTTCGAGTTCTTTCAAAAAGAGCAGTCTTCTTCCCATAAAATGTTTGCTTTTAGGTCTCTGTACATTTTAAACACAGTTTTAATATTGTACTTAACGCATTCGTTATTCTTCTGGTTGCATTATTCTGCAAAGCCATTAACTTGGTGTTCAAAAGTATTCCTGTGGTGGATATTCTCAGATGCTTTTCATTTAAAATTTGACAGATTTCATCTTCAACTAAGATATTTGTTGGTTTTACATTTGTTTCTTTGTTAGTTTCATCTGAATAAAAAGCAGTTCAATTTTCACAGGGTTTTTACTTCTTCCACAGAGAGTGTGGCCTGCTTCTCAGCGAGATGTTTTATATCTTTCTGCCATTAGAAAGATACCAGCCTTGACTGAAAATGACCCTGAAACATGGATAGTTTGTAATTTTTCTGTGGATCATGATGGTGCTCCTGTAAGTACAATGTATAAATGTGTATTATTGTACAGTGTAAAGCCAAATACACAGTGAAGGGCAAAGGCAATAGGTGAACACACACAGATACTTGATTTGATAATGCTTCTTAGATTTTTTTTTGTTTGATTGACAGCTTGGATTGGTGTAGCCCACGTGTTGTCTCAAGGCAAGAGTCATGACTATGAATGTCAGCAGGACTATTTCCTTTTCTTCTGAGGTTAGGTGACACAGAGCTGAATGGGTAGCAGGTACAGGCTACTTCCTGCTGTTGATTCTTAAACCATTATCAACTATTGGCAAAACCTCTATAGTTTCTACCTTGGTTTAGCTCTTCTTACTACTGATATGGAGGGAAATCATTCCTAGTGTCATATCACCTTGACACATGTTATTGGTGCTCATAAAATTTTGTTGTAGATTTTAGTGAGAGTTATAGTTTTGGTTAACCTAATGTAGTATTAGACCAGCAGATATTACAAAATTACTGGGTATCTACTATATAGTGCTTTGTTTTTGTTTATTTTGGCAGCTAAACAATCGATGTGTCCGTGCCAAAATAAATATTGCTATGATATGTCAAACGTTGGTAAGCCCCCCAGAGGGAAACCAGGAGATTAGCAGAGACAACATTCTATGCAAGATTACATATGTAGCTAATGGTATGTATTTTTCTGTGTTTTTTTTTTGCTACTGGGTAATGTGGATGTTCTTGATTATGATCTGCATCGTAACTGACAGAACAAATGTCTTTTATAAATGCCATTTTAGTTCTTTTAGATTAGTAATTTTTAATTTGGGGAGATGTATATCAGAATTATCTGGGAAAATTTTTCAAAATACACACGCCTGAATTTCACCTCAGAACTGCTGTATCAGAACTTATGAAGCTGGGCTGGGTAGGTAAATTTTAAAACTTGCTTTCTAGGTCACTAAAAGGGGCCCTGGTGGCGCAGTGGTTAAGTGCTAAGCTGCTAACTGAAAGATTGGTAGTTCAAACCCCCTAGCCGCTCTGCGGAAGAAGGAGTGGCAGTCTGCTTCCATAAAAGATTTACAGTCTTGGAAACCCTATGAGGCAATTCTCCTTTGTCCTATGGGATCGCTATGAGTCAGAATTGACTTGACAGCAACAAGTTTTTTGTTGTTTTGTTTTTTTTTTTTTCAATTATACTTCAGGTGAAGGTTTACAGAACAAATAGTTTCTCATGAAACAGTAGTACACATATTGTTTTATGAGATTGGTTAACAACCCCACGACATGTCAACCCTCTCCCTTCTCAACCTTTTTTTTTTTTTTTTTTGGTGAAAATATACATAGCCAAACATACACGATTTCAAAAATTTCTACCTGCACAGTTCGGTGACATCGATTATGCTCTTCCAATTGTGCTGCTGTTCTCACTTTAGGTGAAGGTTTACAGAACAAAATAGTTTGTCGTTAAACAGTACACATGTTGCCCTATGACAATGGTTAACAACCTCACAACACATCAACACTATCCTTACTCAACCTTGGGTTCCCTATCACCAGCTTTCTTGTCCTCTTCTGTCTTCTAGCCCTTGTCCCTGGACTGCTGTGCCTCATTAGTCCCTTTTGGTTTTATGGGGCTGTCCACTCCCCGGCTGAACGGTGAACCTCAAAGTGCCTTCACCACTGAGCTAAAAGGGTGTCTGGGGGCCATACTCTCGGGGTTAGCAACAAGTTTTTAGGTCACTAAACACACATCCTTGGCTTTACAAACCATTTTATTAGATACATGTTTAATAGAATGTATTTGCTATTAGGACTATAAGCAACAGTGGGAAAGGAAATTTAACAATTCTTTTTCTCATGGTCAGACCTTTTAGTTTTCTGAATCATTACTCCCCTGGTCCTTCTTAGTTGCTAGTTACATATGTATTTCACGTTGGCCTGCTGCTGGACAGCCCTTTTCATCACTTGCTTTAGTTCCTTACGGACACCCATTTCCTACCTGCAATAGTTATTGCAGTCTCTAGTCAGATACACCCCTCTTAATACAGTGCTGCACTGCTAGTATACTTAAAAACCAAAAACCGAACCCATTTCCATCTGGTCGATCCTGACTCACAGCCACCCTATAGGACAGAGTAGAATTGCCTGCTAGGGTTTTCAAGGCTGTAATCTTTACGGAAGCAGACTGCCACATCTTACTCCCACAGAGCGGCTGGTTGGTTTGAACCGCCCCACCTTTCTGTTAGTAGACAAGCACTTAACCACTGCGCCACCAGGTCTCCTCTCTAGTATACTTAAAGAAACAGTTACGCCTGAGTAAGTTACAGAAGGCTATTTGATTATAGTAGAGGTTGGTGAATAAATCTCTAACTTAAAGTGTTCCTATATTCATATTTGCGTATAATTTAGGAAACCAAGAACATTTTAGAAATGTAACAAATGCTTTCTTATTTTCTATTTGATTGTTTCTGGTGGTTAGTTTTAAGGAATCAATGGTTGAGACTTACAGAGATTCTAATTGTTCTGACTTAAGGAATTTTTAAAAAGCAAAGGAATAAGTTGAGTGCTTTACATGTATTTGGTGAATTATATCTTAACAAGTTTTAATTTCCCTTTGTTTCATAGTGAACCCTGGAGGATGGGCACCAGCCTCAGTGTTAAGGGCAGTGGCGAAGCGAGAGTATCCCAAGTTTCTAAAACGTTTTACTTCTTATGTTCAAGAAAAAACTTCAGGAAAACCTATATTATTCTAGTATTAACAGGAAGGTATATTTTATCTTTTTTTAAACTTTGACTTGTATGACTGCAGATATTAAAATATAGTTAATTATTCAGAATTGTTGCTGTGTTTTATAATGTTCTCAGAAAGAGAATTGTAGCTTATTAAAACTTTCTTTGTTGTTGATATTTTCTGCTTATGAAAGACAATACCTGCTTAAAGAAATTTTATTATAGACTACAGAATTTCAGAAGTGCAAACTCCCTATAATCCTTCCTTTCCCAGAAACTCATGTTAAGTTTGTGGTATATTTTTCCAGACTTTTCTACATAATGTACATATGTACTGACATATAATATTGTTTGTGGCATTTAAAAGAAAAGTGTTTATTCTATATTACTATTTTTAACTTCGATTTTTCACTTAACAATATATCTTAGATATCTTTCTGTATAAAGACAGGAGATATATAAAACTCTTTTTTTAACATGTGTTATTTAAATGTTACAGAATTTATTTACCAATTCCATGTTAATATCTGGTTTAGTTCCATATTTTGACTGTCAAACAGTGCTGTGCTGACTGAACATCTTCGAGCAAAGAGCTGGAATCTTTTACTTAATTTTCTTAGTAACTGATACATTAACATGATTCAAAAGTATGAAACAATATAGAGTAAAAATTATTCCCTGTTCCTTACTCTCACCCAATTTTTCCCACTTCAGAAAAAGAAGAAAAAGTTAACTACTGTTAACTGGTTTCTTGTGTATCTTTCTAGAGATTTTTTTTTTTTTTAAATGCCTGAACAAGCAGATACAAGTGTATTCCTCCCACGCATACACTTTTTCTGTTGTTGTTCTGTATCTTTTTTTTACACTTAATTTATCTTGAAAGCCTTTCCATATTAGTATGGCGCTTCCTCTCTTTTTTCAGCTGTGCAGTATTCCATTGTGTGTGTGTGTATGTATGTATGTAAGGTGCAGTCAATAGCTGGTTCCAACTCATAGCGACCCTATGTACAATAGAACAAAACACTGTCTGGTCCTGCGCCATCCTCACAGTCAGTGCTGTATCTGACTCCTTGTTGCAGCCACCATGTCAGTCCATTCTGTTGAGTGTCTTCCTTTTTCTCGCTGATCTTCTACCTTACCAAGCATGATGTCCTTCTCCAGGGACTGGTCCCTCCTGATAACATGTCCAAAGTGTGTGAGACAAAGTCTCGCCATCCGTGCTTCCAAGGAGCACCTCTGGCTGTACTTCTTCCAAGATAGACTTGCTCATTCTTCTGGCAGTCCATGGTATTTTCAGTATTCTTCACCAACACCATAATTCAAAGGTGTCGGTTCTTTGCTGTAATACATGGGATCACCATGAGTCAGAATCGACTTCATGGGTTGGGTTGGGTTTTTTTCAGTGGGTATTAAGGTTGTTTCCATTGTTTTGCCATAACAGGGTAGTAATTGTATACGCATGTTATTTTGTACTTGACAAACCCAAACCAAACCCATTGCCATCGAGTGGATTCGGACTCATAGCATCCCTGTATATACCAAAAACCCACTACTACTGAGTCAATTCCGACTCCTAGCAATCCTATAGGACAGAGTAGAACTGCACCCTAGGGTTTCCAAGGCTGTAAATCTTTACGGAAGCAGACTGCCACATCTTTCTCCTGCGGAGCAGCTGGTGGGTTCAAACCACTGGCTTTTGGGTTGGCAGCTGAGCGCTTTAACCACTGCACCACCAGGGCTTCTTGCCTGGTGTGTATGAATATATGTGGTACAAATTACTAGTGGCAGTTTGGATGGCTGTGCATTTGTCATTTAGAATTTGCCCTCCTTCATGGTTGCGTTCGTTTATCCTCTTACCAGCAGTGTATTGGAGTGCCTGTTACCCAATATCCCCTCACACAGTGTGTAGCAGAACTTTCAGATTTTTCCTAATTTGATAGGTGAAAGATACTCTCAGTGGAGTTTTAATTTCTGTTTTTGTTATTATGAAGTTGAGCATCTTTTGGTCTATTTGAGGGCCGTCTGTATAATTCTGTTTCTATGAACTGCCTGTTGGCAATGAACATTTAAAATTTTAATAAATATTACCAAATTATGATATACAAACAGTAAATATGTGTGAATATCCTCATGTTCTCACTATGTTGGGTGTTAATCATTGGCTGAAAATTTTATATTCCTGAGGTCATTTCTTTAGTTAAAAATAATAGAATCGATATTCATATAATGACTAAAGCTTTTGTTTGCTGATGCTGTTTATAGTATGTCTTTCTAAGAAAAATAGAAAGAAACTCAGAGACTTGTCAGATACTAACACAAAGGTTATTGTATGTCTTAGATAGTTAGCATTTACCAGTAAAAAGGTTATCTGAAAGTTAAACAGGTTCTAGTCTTACTTATCTCTGTGACTGGTGTTTTGGAATACAGCCTGCTTTTCAGGGATTCTGTCTCTTCAGGCATAAGTGTGCTACCTATTTTTAGAATATCCTGTGCTTTAGAATTATGGCTAGATCTGGGTACAGTACTTCTTAATGATCCTGTCTCTGTATTGTATTTATCATATAAACCAGAAACCTGATGCCAGTAATAAGGGCAAGTAGGCTTGTCACCTTACTCAGTTGTCTTTCTTTTCCCACAGTCTTAAGGTCTCTGAAGAGTTTCATTCTAATCAAGGTTGAACATGCAGCTATATCTGCCTTCTCTCTTCTCTACCTGTAACTCCAAGCTTGTTTAAAGGGACTTCCCAGTTGATACTTTGATTACTTCCTTACCAGAGTCTCACATATTCAGCTAAGCAGACAGAAGATAGGACAGTGTATTAAGCAAAAGAAATTAAAATGCAGTTGTATATAAAACTTACTGTCAACTATGTTTGAAGAGAATACTTTTTTAATATTTAAAAGATACATGTTTAGACATTAACACTCTAAACTGTTGGATTTGGGGTAGTATTTCTCAGTCTATCCATCCATCCATCCATCTATCTGTTGTGTGTTTGTGTTTCTTTTTAGGAGGGAAAGAATTGAAATCCTTTTCAAAAAATTCATCTTGGAGGAAGGAGGTAGCATTGTTTGTATATATGTGTATGTATGTAAACTTATAACTGAAAAGACTCACTGGCCAAAACTCAATGAAGCCTTTGAGTCGAAGTTGAGCTTCTCTCTGAGAAAGAGACAGATTCAAATCTTAAAATGCGGTGGAAATCGTCTATCTAGAGTGACATCTGTCTCACAATAATTAGGGTGGTGGTGGTGGTGTTGTTAAGGTGTCGTCGAGTCGGTTCTGACTCATAGGTACCCTATGCGTCACAGAACGAAACTGCTGAGTCCTGTGGCGTGCTCACAATCATTATGCTTGAGCCCATTGTTGCAGCCGCTGTATCAGTCCATCTCACTGAGGGTCTTCCTCTTTTTCGCTGACCCTGTACTAAGCATGGTGTCCTTCTCCAGGGACTGATCGCTTCTGACAACACATCCAAAGTATGTTAAATATAGTCTCGCCATCCTTGCTTCTAAGGAGCATTCTGGCTGTACTTCTTCCAAGACAGATTTGTTCATTCTTTTGGCAGTCCATGGTATATTCAAT